ATTTTGCATTAAGATAAGAAGTGTTAGATGACCCCTGTTTTTTCATGTTGTTAATCTAACATAAACAGCAGACTAACTAAGACCATAGAAGTAAGTGGTTTTGCTAGGACCTTGACCAGAGGCATCTGAGGGCTGTGGTGTTCACCATGGCAGTATACAGATATTGAAAATGTGGGTGTAGCTTAAAGAGGCATAGCGAACTAACAATAAACTTTTTGTCTTTAACATGCCATAGACATTTTATTTGTGTGTCAGAATTATTTTGATGATGTGTGTGCCTATGTTACCAAGCCAGGAAAAAGGGTAATACAGTACTCCCAGACATAGAATAATGATTTTTACAGTTAAATATGAACTTTTCTATACTTAATAATAAGATTCAAACCTGAACTGAACCCTCTGTTAGTTAGTCACAAGATCTCTACAAATATCTTTACAGTCCTCATTATGCAGTTGTGTTAGACCTCCACAGAACCCCTCATACAGTCACATCCAAATTCCCTATCAGAGGCCCCTTTATGCAGCCACTTCAGACTCACTATGCCCTTTTAATGCTGGTCTCCTTGAGCTCATGTATGCAACTACTGTAGACTTCAACAGACTCTTTTGTAGCCTTCCTTAGACCCCCTTATGCAGCCACATTAGACCTTCACAGAACCTACCTCCACACAGCAGCAGACCTACTTAGTTATGCTACTTCTAAAATTTTAGACATCTGGTTCGCACTGTGCGGACTGGTTGCAGGTGGGAATCGCATCTGTTCTTGCACCCACAACCACCTGCAGAAAAATTGTTCTTCATTTTTCTGAATGGCACCCCCACTCATCTCAGCCCACAGTGCATTTGCTGGTGCAGGAAACACAGGGAAATTGCATGGTCAAAAAGATTTAGAAGATTTAAAAAGGTGCATGCACTTTTAGTTTGCAGAAAACGCAGGCACTGCAGCCCATTCAAATGATCAGACTGCCGTGTCCATGGAAATGCGGCTTGCACAGCCCACATAAGTGTGAACCCGGGGTAAGACCACTCAGGTTTCACTACCACACCTTCCAGGATGAAATGCTTAGATGCTTTTTAAATTGCTAAATTCTTACAGTTGCTTAAAGTGCCCAGACTGTGAACATTAAACTCTTCACATATTATTAAAAATCAGTAAAATAGAGTAAAACCAGCCTTCTCTGGTCTATCTGGTTTTTATGTGAGGTAATTCATGCTCTAAGATCCTCAGAGATCAAGATCACAAAGTTTAAAGACCAAAGATCAAAGCCTCTGAAGTCATTTGTCAGTGGGTTTCTAACAGTTTAGAAACACCTTCTAGCTTTTAACATTAGAGGGATGACAGTCTGCCAGGAACTGTTCTCATAGCAAAATAGAATGGCTGTGTTGTGAACCTAGAAAATTAATTTCTCCATACTGCTAATAGATACAGAGACAAACAATGATTTGTTTTAAAGTCCTTGTAGTGCTTCTTCAGAATCTATAATTACTTTAGTGCACATGATCCGGGCAGGTTCAATTTAATGTAGTAGTAGACAATATGTTGCAAGTGGACGTCAAGACTTCTTAAGTGCAGTCAAGCAGGACCTATTGTATAACTGTAAGCAGTAACGGTTCGCAGGTCAGGGACAGAGGTAGGCTTAATGAGAAGGGCACTTTGTACAGAGTGCCATTTTTTCACAAATGGTTTTGGATGTCATCTCCTCCATAGACTTCACTTAAGCCATCCATCTCTGGATACCCACACCTTCATTAGTGGAGAAAGTACATGATAGCCTGGTACATCTCAGTGCCAGGCTGCAATGTTTTAGGTTAACAAATAAGTCTTTTGGGAAGGTACATTTTATCACATATCTGATGGAAACAGTTATGATGAGGGCATGCTTCCATACATCTTTAGCTCAAGCCCATACATATGCTGGCAGGTAATGCAAGAACAATGGAGAGGGCCTGCTGTCAATTAAGAAACCTAAGAAAGGTATCTGCCTAGTCAATAAACAGATCAGGGTCAATTTCAGATGAACAGTATGAAGGCCAACTTAAGTGAATTTCAAGAAGACAGCCAAAGTTGGTATCAAATGGTCGGCAGGCAGAGATGAATTTAGGAAGATGCTGCATAAGCACTGAAGAGATCAAGATCAACATCACTTCATCATTCGGAAACAAACTGAACAGGTGAGTTATCGAGAGAGACATAGATTGTATCAAATGATCATTGAAGTCGGCAGGCAGGAGCAAAGACAGGAAATCAGAATAATTTATTTTGCCAGATATTTTCAGGAATACAAGAAATTTGTCTTCAGCTTAAGGTTGTGATGTTTAAAATGGGTTTATAGCAGAGTCGAAAAGTAGAGCATAGGTATAATCTTAGATCAACAGAAGGGGAATCTAAAGACAGTTGAGGAATCATTGATCCAAGGCAGGAGTGAGACTTAAATAGCATATTTGGTGCCAACACCGTCAAATGTATGCATGCACATAGATGCACTTCCAGCAGTGAAACCTTGACATTATGTCAGGCTGTGTATAGTGAAGCTTTCCCAACAATTTCTTACTCCAAACCTGGGGTGACTCGTAGGGTCAGTTAGTATTATGACAAACTGTCAAAAAAACAAACACATAGCATTCAGATTAAATGATCCTTTCTTCTTTTAGCCAGTTTTAATGCATTGAAACAATCAGGGAAATAAATTAGTCTTTTAGATCTGTCTATCTAGACATTATTGACATATATATATATATATATATACTATATATATATAAATATATATATACACTGCTCAAAAAAATTAAAGGAACACTTTGAAAACACATCAGATCTCAATTTGAGAAAATGAGAAAAATATCATGCTGGATATCTATACTGATATGGACTAGGTAATGTGTTAGAAACGTAAGGATGCCCCATCGTTTGATGGAAATTAAATTTATCAATCTACAGAGGACTGCATTCAAAGACACCCCGAAAATCAAAATGAAAAAATTATGCAGCAGGCTAGTCAATTTTGTTTGTAAAAAAGAAAGGTGGAGAAGGCGCCACAGAGTGTAGACTGTAAACACTTTATTACAGATCAGTTAAAATAACACTCACATTTTAGAAGATATATAGGCACGTCTTTGGTGTATGACTATCTTCCAGGGCAGGTGTGGACACGTTGCAGATGTAGAAAGCTATGGAGGCTGGATGTGGAGCAGGCTTAGAGCTGTAATTGGTAAGTCCAGGACAGGCTGTAGTGCGGAGGAAACCAAGTGAGCTCCATAAGCAGGTGGACCACAGCATTATGCGTGACCACGTGACCGGAAGTGATTGATTGTTTGGTCAGAGACTGTCAGGAATGGACTGGCCAGCAATAGTGGGACTCACCTGCCTTATGAGCTGCAGTACCAGGGCTGGCCAGCGGGTGCTCCCAGCAATCAGAGACTCAACCTTGCAGCCAGTCAAACACCTGGAACTAATTATACTGGTGTATTTAAGGGACATTCAGACCTGCAGACTCTGCCTTGGTGTTGTGTTTCTCCTGGGCCCTGTTTCCTGTTCCTGTCTGATTCTCTGCTGACCCTGCTCTGATCCCTGGCTTGTCTGACCATTCTCCTGCTCCTGATCCCTGGCTTGTCTGACCATTCTCCTCTGCCTGACCCTCTGTACCACGCTGCCCGCTACCTGCTGAACCTGGCTTGTGACCCTGACCATTCTCCGCTTGCTCCCCCTGTACCTACCTGCCCGATTGATATTGACCGGCCTGCCTGACGACGCTTGCATTGTATGTACTGTTATCTGTGGGTGGTTGGTTTGGTTTGTTTGCACTGTGTTATGTTTTAGTATTGCACTGCGTTTATGTTTGTATTGTTAGTGTTAATAAATTACATAGTTTATAACATATCTGAAGTCTGCGTTTCCCTGCGTCAGTCACACACCTCTGGTCACACCCGGGAGCCCTGACATTACACCAAGGCCAATCCTGACCAGAAGTGGCTGCACAGGGAAGCCATCTTGGTTTGTTGATGGGAAGGATGGATCTGGATGAGGTTGCGTATTTATATCTGCTAGTGTTTGATGACAGGGAGTATGCTTATCAAACTCTGAAGGAGTATACCCGGGATGAACTGCTAGAATGTATACGGCTCGCTCATGTTCTAGTAGATCAGGGCACAGAGTTCTCTGAGGTGCAGCCATTGATTGAGGTTTGTGCTGAGTTGGTTTCATCTGGTACCCCCCCGAATGCAGGGATGAATTTTTGCCACCATTTAGTGCAGACCAGGTAGAGTCCCTGGTATGGTTATTAGAGGATGATGTGGGTTACTTTCTGGAGCGTTATTCCACATGTTCACCACAGGTACTAAGAGATTGTATAAACGCAGTGCAGTCTTTGGTCAGACAGGCTTTGTGTAAGCTCAGCTTTGTTCAACCCATACTGCAGACATGGACAGATTTGTTACACCCAGCCTCAGTCAGCTTACAAAGACCCAGTCTGCTTCTAATCTATTTCCTCAAAGCTCTATTCCTGTATTCCCAACAGCTTCTCCAGTTATAGCCCAGTATACTTGGCTATCTACCTCATGTCAGTACCCTGTTCCCACTCGCTGCACCTATCCTGCCTTTAACCCTGTAAAGAAGCCCTCTGTAGCGACTGTTCCTTCCCCTGTTCCATCCTCCAGCTCTTCTGTCTCCAGCTGCTCCATTCATTTGCAGACCTGCGTTTACTTGCAGTGCTCCAGTAGTTAAAACCAGAAAATTCTTTCCAACCAGTACCATCCTGCCAGTATCCAAACCAGTCAGCCTGCCGTCCGAGAACCTGCCTTCCATGGTTCAGCCTGCCTGATGCCTCTCTTCAGCCTGATGCCTCTACTCAGCCTGAAGCCTCTACTCAGCCTGAAGCCTCTACTCAGCCTGAAGCCTCTACTCAGCCTGATGCCTCTACTCAGCCTGATCAGCCTGATGCCTGCATTCAGCCTGATGCCTCTACCCAGCATGATGAACTGATCCAGCCTGACGATCCTATTAGGCCTGGTGACCCGATGCCCGCTGTCGAGCCAGACAATCCGGTACCTGATGACCCGGTGCCCGCTGTCATGCCAGTTGACTCAGAGCCCGCTGTCGTGCCTGGTGACTCGGTGCCCACTGCCTTGCCAGATGACGCGGTGCCCGCTGGCGAGCTAAATGACCTGATGCCTGGTGACCCAGTGCCCGCTGTCATACCTGGTGACCCGATGCCCGCTGTCGAGCCAGACGATCCAATGCCTGGTGTGACCCGGTGCCCACTGCCTTGCCAGATGACGCGGTGCCCGCTGGCAAGCCAAATGACCTGATGCCTGGTGACCCAGTGCCCGCTGTCATACCTGGTGACCCGATGCCCGCTGTTGCGAGCCAGACAATCCGGTACCTGATGACCCGGTGCCCGCTGTCGTGCCAATTGAGTCAGAGTCCACTGTCGTGCCTGGTGATTGATTCGGTGCCCGCAGTCTTGCCAGTTGACACTCGGTGCCCGTCTGTAGCCAGGAGACTCGTGTCCGCATCTTAGCCAGACGACTCGGTGCCCGCAGTCTTGCCAGGACGACTCGGTGCCCGCAGTCTTGCCAGACGACTCGGTACCCCCGCAGTCTTGCCAGACGACATCGGTGCCCGCAGTCCGCCAGACGACTCGGTGCCCGCAGTTTCCGCCAGACGACTCGGTGCCCGCTGTTCTGCCAGCCTTTTGACTCGGATGCCCGCAGTTCCGCCAGTTGACTCGGTGCCCGCAGTTCTTGCCAGAAACGACTCGGTGCCCGCAGTCTTGCCAGACGACTCGGTGCCCGCAGTTTCTTGCCAGACGACTCGGTGCCCTGCGCAGTCTTGCCAGACGACTCGGTGCCCCGCAGTCTTGCCAGAACGACTCGGTGCCCGCAGTCCTGTTTGCCAGACGACTCGGTGCCCGCAGTCTTCGCCAGACGACTCGGTGCCCGCAGTTCTTTTGCCAGACGACTCGAAGCCCCGCTGTTCCGCAAGACCGACCTCTGACCCGCTGTGCCCTCCAGAGACTCGTATGCCCGCGCATCGCCGCCAGTTGACTCGGAGCCCACTGTCGTGCCTGGTTGACCCAGTTTGCCCGCCCCGCTCCACCTGGGGGTCCTGTCGCGCCACCCCGCGACTTCCCCGCCTGGGGGTCCGGCGCCCGCCCCGCCTGGGGGTCCGGCGCACTGTCGCCCCGCCTGGGGGCCCGATGCCTGCTCCCCGTCGCCCCGCCTGGGGGGCCCGGTGCCTGTCCAGCCCCGCCTCAGGGGGGGGACCGCCTGGGGGCCCGATGAGCTGTCGCCCCGCCTGGGGGCCCGATGCCTGTCACCCAAGTTCCTGGGAGCCCGGCCCGCCCGCCGCTCCGCTTGGGGGCCCGATGCCCGTCGCCCTGCCGGGGGGCCCGGTGCCCGTCCGCCCCGCCTGGGGGCCCGGTGCCTGCTGCTCAACCTGGGGGCCCGTGTTGCCTGCTGCTCTGGTGCCCGGTGGCCCGCTGCCTGCTGCTTCGCCTGGTAATCCGATGTGCCTCTGCCTGGAGTCCAGCCCGATGTGCCTCTCTGCCCGGAGTCCAGCCCGATGTGCCTCTGCCCGGAGTCCAGCCCGATGTGCCTCTGCCCGAGTCCAGCCCGATGTGCCTCTGCCCGGAGTCCAGCCCGATGTGCCTCTGCCCGGAGTCCAGCCCGATGTGCCTCTGCCCGGAGTGCCACTGCCCGGTGTGCCGCTGCCCGGAGTGCCTCTGCCACCGGAGTCCAGCCCGATGTGCCTCTGCCCGGTGTGCCGCTGCCCGGAGTCCTGCCCGGGTGTGCCAGTCTTTGATATCCTGCCAGTTACCAGACCCCGGGCGGTGGAACATTTTGCCCAGCTAGGACTGTTTGGAGCGTCCTGAGGCCGCTCCTTGAGGGGGGGGGGTACTGTCAGGAAATGGACTGGCCAGCAATAGTGGGACTCACCTGCCCCCTTATGAGCTGCAGTACCAGGGGGCTGGCCCCAGCGGGTTCTCCCAGCAATCAGAGACTCAACCTTGCAGCCAGTCAAACACCTGGAACTAATTATACTGGTGTATTTAAGGGACATTCAGACCTGCAGACTCTGCCTTGGTGTTTGTGTTTCTCCTGGGCCCTGTTTTCCTGTTCCCTGTTCCTGTCTGATTCTCTGCTGAACCCTGCTCTGATCCCTGGCTTGTCTGACCATTCTCCTGCTCCTGATCCCTGGCTTGTCTGACCATTCTTCTCTTTGACCCTCTGTACCACGCTGCCCGCTACCTGCTGAAACCTGGCTTGTGACCCTGACCATTCTCTCCGCTTGCTCCCCCTGTACCTACCTGTCCGATTGATATTGACCCGGCCTGCCTGACGACGCTTGCATTGTATGTACTGTTATCTGTGGGTGGTTGGTTTGGTTTGTTTGCACTGTGTTATGTTTTAGTATTGCACTGTGTTTATGTTTGTATTGTTAGTGTTAAATAAATTACATCGTTTATAACATATCTGAAGTCTGCGTTTCCCTGCGTCAGTCACACACCTCTGGTCACACCCGGGAGCCTGACAGAGACATTCACACCAGTGGCCTGCTGGAGCTCATTTTGTATGGCTCTGGCAGTGCTCCATCCTGTTCCTCCTTGCACAAAGAATCCGATACTGGTTCTGCTGATGGGTTAAGGACCTTCTAACAGCTCTGTCCAGCTTTCCTGGAGTAACTGCCTGTCTCCTGGATTCTCCTCTATGCTCTTGAGACTGTGCTGGGAGACACAGCAAAGCTTGGCAAAGGCAACGTATTGAAGTCCATCCTGTAGGGTCCATGGTATCGCCTCATGCTAACCCTTGGTGATACTGACCCTAGCCAAATGCAAAGCTAGTGAAAAACAGTCAGAAAAAATAAGTAGCGAAAAAAAATATCAGCGGTCTCCACCTGTAAAACCATTCCTGTTTTGGGGGTTGTCTCATTGTTGCCCATCTAGTGCACCTGTTTAATCAGTTTCAGCTGCTTTTGGGGTTAATGAAGTTAACAACCCCCTCTGCTACTTAACCTCCCTAGCGGTATTCCCGAGTGTAGCTCGGGGTAAAATGTCAGTACCAAAAGTGGTAACCCCGAGCTACACTCAGGCTTACCATACGGCGCTGCATAGGGAGTCCCTGCAGCACTTACCTTGTCCTTCGCTCCCACGATGTGTCCCCTGCAGCGTCCCCGGCCATCCTCCTCCAGCTGATGCCGGCATCCGGCTCCTGTGTTTCCGGTCCCTGTGACGTCGGGACGTACGGGCGCCGGCGGCGGCGGGAAATTTGAAAATTTAAAAAAAAGTCATTTTTTCAAAACGATTTTACATAGTAAAACATTGCTGTTTCAACCCATTTCACATACATTTTGTCCCTAGTGCTTTGTCCTGTCCCTTGTCTGCATTTTGATTTGTTCTTTCTGCCTGGAAACTTAGAAAAGTCCATGGCGTCCAAAAAGTGTCCCTTTAGGTCAAAAGCGGGTTTAGATCAGCTAGAGAACAGCGATCGTAAAATTAGAACCACTTGCAGAATTGAGTGATAATGATTCGTGGGAAATTCATCATCAGACACTGAGAACAATTTTGCGTCTTTGCTCAGCGATGTGCGAACTTGGCGCTATATTTCAAATTTCAGTGTTTTTGGTTTGATTATATTATTGAATTAAATGTATTATTATATTATTATTTTTTATGATTATTTATTAAATTGTAATTCATGATTTTGTGTGTTTCAAATTTATCATACCCGGGATGTTTAATAGACTCTTGTTCGGACAGATTTCAGTGAGTTATTCCTAAATATTACAGCCTACAATAAAAAACTACATATTTCCATGCAAAATAATGGTACCGCTTTTGGCACCAAAAATATGAAATAATCATACCGCTAGGGAGGTTAACTGAGCAGATCAATATCCCAGGAGTTTAATTGACCTGATGCTATCCTCTGATTAAAAGTGGTCTTTTAATTTTTTGAGATATATATATATATATAATATATATATATATATATATATATATAAAAAAACATTTTTAAACTCTTTTCTTTTGTGTTCAGTCTCACGCTTTAATCACTCCTGCTATAATTTTCTCTAAAGAAATTGCACAGTGTTCAAGAGCGACTCCAATGCAAACAATAATCAGGAGAAAGAATCTGAGGAGGTGCTTGTGTTCCTGATAGAAGCCAGCTAGTCTCTTGAGAGCTTGGAACCAGTGACATGGTACTTACGCTTGAGAAAGTACATAGGCTGGTGATTACACATCTCTAATGGTAATAGCTGGGGCTTTTAGGAGGGGCATCAGTTTATATCATGCAGGACAATGAATGTAGTTGAAGAGGCCACACTATCCAGCACACCTCACATTCCAATCAAAATGATGTTGGTTTTGATGCTTTGAATTCAAGAAATAATTTAGTCCTTATCAAGCTTTTACCTATTGATTGATAGTAAGATGATTGCATTCAATACACGAACAGTCTTATAAGAAACAATAACAAGCCGTTGTGTTACCATATCTTATCAAACTATTACTGCAAATGATAACAGTATAAGTATTAGAGTATTCATAGTTTCCAAGTGTCCTGGATCTTGCTAGACAGGATACTTTCCCACCACTGTCCACCAATGAAAGAGATGGGTGGGGGGTTAAATAACACTGCCGCTTACCAGCAATGAAGGGAGGGAGGAGATGAGGTAGTTAATTATCACTGCCACTGACCACCAATGAAGGGAAGAGGTTATTGTTACTGCCACTGACCACCAGTAAAATGGGAGTGGAGGGCTATTTATTAATGCCACTGACCACCAATGCTGGGGTTTATTTTTGCTCCCACTGACTATTACTGTCACATACACTAGAGCTTATTTTACTCCTTTCTCCTCAATGTACCCCCAGGACCTCTTTTCTAAAAAAAATAGCAAAGCAAGGGGGGAAAGGTGCCACATTACTATGCATATGTTGTGATGTGACATTCACTTTATTGATCATGCTTACTTGTTTTGGCCACACCACCCAGTAGTAGGTGGGAAGTGCTCTAAGCACACATTTTCCTCTCATTCCCTTAAAAGTATCTCTCTCAATTACTTTCAAAGATTGGCAACTGTGGAAATGAGTAACCAAACTTATTGCCCACTATTGTCTGGAGCTGAAAGGACTCAAGGGGAATGGAATCCCCAGGAAATTGTCCCAAATCAGAGAAACACTGCATGGAGCCACAGGTCCCAGAAGGACTTTGCCTGAGGAGGAGGAGGAGGAGAAGTCTGGAAAGCCCAGGACTGTAAGGCTCAGTCTCACATGGAGAGTGAAAGCTTCTGTTACTGCCAAAGGTGAGCTGAGCTGCTGGCAAGGATATGCAATGTGTGCTTCAGAGAGCTGGAGGAAAAACAACAATGGCTGCTACTGGGAGACTGCAGGGTGAGAAATGCATCTGTGGAGGATAGGGGACCCTACGTGCTGCACTGTATGACTATAAAGTCTGTTCATTAATCTGGAAGAAGCTGCTGATATTTAAAGATGAATTTCATGTATGG